GACACAAAAGAGCGATTTTTACAAAAAAAACGCGGTCATTAGAGTGACCGGTGTCGAGCCAACGGCACTACATAGAGAAGTTGGCACTGCAGTTTGAAAGTAGCTACTTTGTACTACAATGATCTGTAAGAATTAGCATGGAATAGTCTACTATGTCTTCATGCACTCTAAAAAAAGTGGTGTGATAGTGAACCATTTAAGGTTTTAGCCCAGGTCTCGAAACTTTTAAGATTCAAGATTTCAGTACTATTTTAAGAACCTTTTTCTAAAGTTCTAACCAAAAAGTCTACAACCCTTTACGCTTCCGCATTCCTGACTGAAACTTTAAAAGGTTTTAGACTTTTTGCGTAGAACTATAAAATGGTTCTGAAAATGGTACCGAGAAAAGGTTCACTGTGACAGCTTTTTATAGAGATATGGACCTTATCGAAAGTTGACCAGAAATATAACAAAAATTAAGCGAAAATCTTGAAACTCAGGTCACTAATAATGAACCAATTGGCGTATCCAATAGAAACTTTACAGTTCTAGCGAATGCATACAACATCATCTACCTGTTACTACATAAAGATTTCTTGAAATCGTAAACAAATTTCAATCAAAATCACTGAGCGGAGTATAGGGATCTTTTTTACAATAATTGTGCGGTACCTCCGCTCAGGGATTTTGATCGAAATTTTTTGTTTACAATTTGAAAAGACCGTCGTACATTAGCAGGTAGATGGTGGTGTAAACATATGAAATATGTGGCACGACGAGAGATATCTTGCCCACGAAAAAATAAATCGTATGAAACAGCGTTTTAACGCAAACTTTTAGAAAAAAACGCTGTTTTAGAGTTTTAGCGCATCGTTTTCTCTCGCTAATGCGTTTAAACGCATGGTTTTGTGTGTGTAACACGTTGAAATGCATTCTTTTTTTTATTTACAACGAGTTTTTTCTACGCATTTATATCCTTTAATTTTCTCTATTTGGCGGTAAGTGTTTTATCCGTGAGTTTTTTTTTCTTGTAGACACTCGGAATACATATTTTAGTCTATATTTTTAACACTACAATGTTTACATAAAAGCCTATGTGCTCTTTGTCTCCCTCCTGATAACTGAAATATTTATACTTCATTGATATTTAGAATTTTGCTTGAGTATTTCATCAAATTAAAATGTAACTAAATGGTTGCTAATTACCTACTATATTGAAAATTACAATATTGAAGCAATTGAAAGCAAACATTGCTGAAAAACTCACAATTAATATTGTGGAAATACTAGGATTGACCCATTCATATTTTAAAAAACTATTAGGCTCTAAAAAATGCCTTCAGAAATATTTTTTTTAAATAATTTAAAATTTTTATGCGGAACTATTTTAAATTATTTTAAAAGTCTATTTTCGCAATTTAAATTTATTTTGAATTAAAAGAGAATAATTTCAAAATGTATTCTTCAATCCAATATATACAGACATTCCATCTCTATATTGGTAACAATAATTTTGACTCGATAGCATCAGGTAAGTGATATTCAAAGTGCCTAGTTCTAATCTGCTTTACATCGGAATGAATAAATATACTCAATAAGAAAAACGCATTCAAAAAATCTCGTTTCGGTTCGGGAAAAACACGCTTTTCATAAAACTGTCGCTATCTCATTTTTACGTTATCCACTGAAAAGAACGCATTTGAACGCGTTGGGAAAAGTGCGTTTTAAGTCTAGCGAGAACATATGAACCAAGTAAACAACGCGTTGAAACGCAGATTTTAGTGACTTTTTTCTTTGTGAGTGTATATTGATGGTTATGTCAGATACAAATTTTAAAGAATTACGCTTAAGTTTTATTATAATTATTTCTGGCCAACTTTCGATAAGGTCCATGAAGACATAGTAGGCTATCCCATTTTAATTCGTGCAGATCATTGTAATCCGAAGTGACCACAGGCTAAAAAAATCGGCTCTTTACCAAACCATCACAAAAGGTTTCAGAGATTTCTAAAAGCACCCAAAGGTGCCCAAAGTTTTTAAAAAAAGCATAAAAATCCAACGAAATCTTTAAAGGCCCTAACGCTGTATTGAGGATAAGAACCGTTTCGTGCTAAACCTATTTGTTTAGTTTTTTAGCTAAAAAAAAAGGTTTCGTAGAATTTTTGATCCATTTTTTAAGACTTTGGACACCTTTGGATGCTTTTAGAAATCTTCGGAGCCTTTTTTGAGAGCTCAGAAGCGTGCCGATTTTTTTAGAGTGTACTTTCAAACTGCAGTGCCAACTTTTCTATGTAGTGCCGTTGGCTCGACACCGGTCACTGCAATGACCACG